GGGGGGGGGGGGGGGGGGGGGGGGGGGCAGTGACAAGGACACGCACGAACGCGAGGTGTCGGCATAGAGTCTATTTACTTGTTATTCAGCATGGCAGGCACCGCTTACGGTAACCGTGTTGACCACTCGGGCCATTGTGGATCGGTATGGATGGCCGGTACGGACAAACAACAATGAACACCTTCAACATTGCATCTGGGAGGTTTGATGGACGTTAGTCGGTTTGGTATAACAATCCCTAGTGGATGCCACGAATCCGAAGCAAAAAAACACAACACTGCACGCAAGTGATCAGGTGTCCCGATCGGCCATTCTTATTCCCGCCCCGATTGGCGTGTCGAGACCCCACAAACCGCAGTGACGGACTACACTCAGGCGAATAGCCAAGTCATTCGCAAACAGCACGCTGGTTCGCCAACCAAGGGTAATTTGCCTATTATAGGTCCAAAATACTCCGGTGGTCCAAAATATTCCGGTGCTCCAACAGCGCACAAGAGCATGTAAGTGCAGCACAGCATCGGGGTCTAGGTACCTGCGTGTAGGCCACCAGCATGAAGGTGAACCAGCACTCTTGGTTGTTCACTTCGCACACCGTGAGGCTGGTGCCATCCACCGCGATGAAGCCCTTCGGGGCGATATATCTAATCAAATCCTGGGGAACTTCCACCTGTGCACACATGATACGACAAATTGCGGCGTGACGGCAGCAAGAACAGAAACAGCCGGGAGTAGCCAGGATTGACGGGGGTTCTGGGCCAATACACGGTGGAAGGTCTCATTAGGAACGGGGGGCTTGAGATCGACAACGTATTGAAGCACATCGTGAGCTACTGCGGCTGCGCCTGTTGACTGCTCCTTCACAAGCACATCCGCTGGCGGCCGCTTCCATCCAACGCGGTGGTTCACACCTTGACGACGAGCGAGTCCTCGTCGGCCTCCATGCTCAGGATAGTCCCGACGTTGTCCACGTGCCCCTGCACGAAGTGGCCGCTGTTTCGCCCGTCCACGGGCAGGGCCCTCTCAAGGTTGACCCCGTCCCCCGCCCTCAAGTCTTCCAGGTTTGATCTCCGGAGGGTCTCGGGCGCGAGGCCCACCTTTGTGTATTCACCGATACATCGCAATCGAAGCGCGTCTCTCATGATCACATTCGAAAAAAAGAAGGGCGTACGGGGAAGGCATACATACAGACACTTGGGGGCATACTCCTGTTGGTGATCATCCTGTGTTGTGCATGGACGCGCTATCAGATACCGTCTTTCGTGATCGCATTCGGAAACAAAGACGCACGAGTACGGGGAGGCATGCATGCAAACACGTGGGTAGCAGGTGGTGAGCATCCTGTCTTGTGCATCCGAAGGCATACATACAAACACTTGGGGTCGCTCGTGATGAGCACCCTGCGTTGTACGTACCACAAGAAAAATCTCTGATCAGAAAACTCATTTAGTAAACTCGTCTATATGCCCTGCTGGACGACAAACACGAAAAAAAAGAAAAAAAAACGAAGCGACACGACACGAAACGAAACGTTATCACGCGGGTGTGGTGTCTTTTTGTCACCAACGGTGTTCTGCAGACTCAAACTGCTCACCTTGAATTCGTCGTCATTGAAGGAGGTGACCGTCAGGCAAACGCCATTGACGGCAATGCTGCACCCTTCCGTGGCTCCTTCCAGAACGGTGTTCGCCTTGACTGTGAGCTCGACCCCGGCCCCCTCCGAGCCGTCCCAGAGCTTGACCTTGTCGTTCTTTACGAGCGAGGCCACCGATCCCATTTCCTCCACGATGCCCGAGAACATAGCTCGCACGACTTCTCGTCGCCCTGCGCGCGGGTTGCGCCACCCGAAAGAGGAACGCAGAAAGTAGACCCCGCGTATCGTTGCAACCGCGTGAGAGTCGGAGGGGGGGACCGTTCATAACCTCAACAAGAGGCCCCCTATCCTGCAGAACAGGATGGGAATGATCATTCTATATCCTGGCGCTGCTGCCGCCGCTGGAGGTGATGCATCTACCAACGTCTTACTGGTGTGTCAGAGAGAAAAAGGTACATTGGGACAACCGGCGGGGGGCGGGGAGGGGGGGTCGTACAAAGCCCGTGCCAGCAGAGTGGTACGTTGGAATTGTGATACAGGTACAGACTCATCGGTTTTCGTTGTGTTTTGCTCACCTGCTGCTGTGTTTCGAGGTTGCCGCGAGGACGGCTGCTGATCTCGGTACCCTTGCCCGAGCTGGCGGCGCCCCGCTGAGTGCAGTGCAGCTCTTGAGTTTGTCGGCACCAGGAAGCATGCCCCTGCGGTTGATCCAATCACGAGGTGCTGTCTCTGGTGAAATAATGGAACGAAATGGATAGAGAGGCAAATCTACGAACAAGCGCTACATGCAGCTGCTGGCAGCATGCTGTTTCTTAGCGCGTCGTTGATGTGGTCTACATTGCCGTGCAATGAGTCAACCCTAGTTTTAAGTGTACGAGAAAGAAGACTTGGGGGTAGTTCTAATGAAGTGAGTGCGTTTGGTTTTGTGAGCAGGGTCGGGCTTAATTCTAGTTTACCTATAGTCAAGAAGGCATTTGAGGTTAAGAGTTGGATGTGAGGGATCTAAAGTAAAGAGGTCGAGGCCTACGTAGTCTCGTCTATGGTTGGTAATTGGTAATTGGGGTTTGTTGGGTGAAGTATCCGTAAGTATGACTATTTCAGAGAGAGAGAGAGCAGGCCAAAGGACACAAATGCTTTCATCGCGGACACCTTTGAGACGCACACACACACGATCCCACCGGCACATCTACACCAACACATGCGCCAAGAGAGGTTGCCGCCGGCCATTCTTTCCACACAAATGGCACCAAGGTGGCCGAGTGTGTAGTGTAGCACGCCACGCATCCCAAGGATTTTCCAGGTGTGCGGTTATTCGGATACCTGTGCGAAATCGAATTAACTCGTTTCGTTCGCGCATTTTTATCGCCCGCCTGTGGCCATGAATCCCGGACTCTGCTACTGCTGTGCCTCAACGCACCACGCGTTTCCCTCGACGACATATCTGCCATTGACTACTGGTACATGTACTGCTGTTATGTACGTCAACTTGCACCAATAGGAACACTTGTTCGTTTTGCACGTCACACCTGGAACTAATGACACGATCACCCAGGACGATGCTAGCACCCGCGCCATCGTCTTGACACCAGGCACTACTGTAGTGCTGTTGGGGCAAGGCCTGCGTGGCTGCGCTGTCCGGCACTAGCCAGCTACCTCAGAGGAGTAGGCCACACAACAAGCAAGTGAAGGGGGTCTTCAAACTGTTTTCATTTACTTGTGGGTCATACCCTTCCCACGGAGACTCAGGAATTCCGACCCCCTCGCTGATCACGTCAAAAGTTGATCATGTGTCTGCACTCCTCATGACAGAGCAAAGCGCGTGCTCATCCAGTACGTGCCGTGCTTGCGAAGCACGTTGACTCTATGATAATCCCTGCTGTTATCGGTGGATGCGGAATCAGCAGCTGGAGCAGCGCAAGGAGCGGGCGGCATGTCGCCTTTTGTTCCGCCCCTCTTGCTGCTGCGGGTCTGAGCTGGCGCAATCACCGAGGCGGCTCAGTAGCAGCACCAGCACCAGCACCAACACAATTCCCTCGATCTAGAGGAATGACCATGCTGGCCAGCTCCACCGCGGACGAGAAAAGCCTGGAAGAGGCGCATACTAGCCGCCTGGAAGAGGCTCGCATGCTCGTGCGGGCGAGACGCCAGGAGGCAAAGGCGCGGCAGGCCGCGATGGCAGCAGCGGCCGTCGAGACTGCAACCGTGGCGGGAGGTGGCGGCAGTAACAGCTCCACTACGGCCAAGGATCCAGCAGCTCCTACGAAACCAACGCTCCCCGGCTCGGGGGTTAGTAGCAGTGCCTCTACTCGCTCTAGAACTTCGAATGTTGATGTTGCATCTGGCGGCAAGAAATCGTCGAGCCGCTTCCGCAGCAGCGGCGCAATCAGCAGCAACAGCCGTGGTACACGGGGTGGGGTTTACCCTCGAGGGCGGCCGGGCGCGGAGAGTAGGGGAGCTAGAGGACCAGGAGGAAAAGGGTTCGGAGTTAAACGTCGCAGAGTCCTGCCAGACTTCACAAAGGCCACGAAGGCTACCGCTGTTCCTGTGCTTGCTGCTGTCGGAGACGGAGATGACACGGGGCTGGTGGCGGCGATACGGGCGACTCTGGACCAAACCAGGGCGCAACTGGCCGGGCGCAAGCCTTCTACGTCAGCGGCAGCGGGAGGGGTGCTTCCTTCGCTCACACACGGCGCCACGCAGCAGGTCCGAATTGTGTTTGTATCCTGCAAACCTGGCATAACTCCCGCTACACCCTTCTGCGCTCAGGGACTCGGGATTGGTACATGCAGACCAGGACCGTTTTGTGAACGACGTGGATGACTCCACCGATACCATCGAGACAGCTGCGAAAGTGTGGACATCTGCACATACTGCATTGATTGTCTTGGACGTCTGATCCAGGTCGACGGCAGTCCAATCACTCCTGAAGTGTTATTGAACCCTTTCATTTAGAAACAAAAGAAGGTGGTTTGCATCGTTCGTGCGATATCCTGCTCCCGCGTCGTGGAACAACTGCAGGCACACCCTACCAATCCCACCGCCTCCCGAACCTCAATCCTCCTACACTTCAAAACTAGCATCCATTTTCCTTTGCTACTGCATCGAAACACAGGGCTGGCTGCGTGTGATCGGCCTCATCCGCCGAGCGTGCGGAGGGACCGAAGAAAGCGATCGTGGAAGCAGCGGGGGACCGAATGGCGCCGCCCCCGGCGGTGTCGAGAGCAGCGGGGTGCCTCCTCCCACACCACCTCCTCGGGTTGCGTTTGAGCTGGCCCTTGAGGTCTGCGTCCTGTGCGAGAGGCCGGATGCAGGGTTGGAGGTGCTGAGTCTCATGCGCTCGACGGGGTTGCAGGCGGATTTGGACGACTACAAGGTAAGCGTCAAAGTAGGCCGGCCTAGCGCGGAGTGACGATACTTGCGTGTTTTCTTTCCTTCTGCACCGCTCTTTGTTGTCCCGGGGGTGCAGTGGTGCCGATGTCTCCCGGCGCGCGCAGGCGCATGTCTTTGACCGGGAGGGTCTGGTTTGTTGCGGTCTACGTTGGGAAGCGTTGGGTGACAACAGGCGAAGCAAGCCTTACATCGTCTATCCCCTCCTTTCGCACCCCCGCTTGCCAAACTCGTGAACTAACTCCCTTTCGTTATGTCCTCGTGCCTGCATCTGTGCGGGCTTTGCTCGCAGACTGTGCTCAAGGGCTACAGCGCCAACAGAAAGCAGGGCAAGGCTCTCTTCACCGTGCAGGTTTGTGTGGATACTCGGTACGGCTCAGCTCTCGAAAGTGTCTTTCCCACCTCACCCATAAGTAGGCATTGTCGTACCCCGGCAAGGCCCGCCTTACAATGCAGGTTTGTGGTGGACACGCGGTACGGCTCGGCTCTCGAAAATACCTTTCATTCCCCACCCGTGCAGTAGATCGGAGTTCTTGTGTCCCGTGCCGGGCCAAGAGGCACGCAGTCCTCTCGCGGTTCGTCCCAAGGTGGGTGGTTTGTGGTCACGAATTGGTTGACGTGTACTTAGAGTTCACGCGTCTTGCGCGCGCCCATCCAACCCCATCCATCCGGGCGAACCTTGGGCCTCGCATGCATGATCCTACGGCTAAGACGTACCATCACCACACAACAAGTGATTACCTCTCGCCATCACTTCCGGCACAGCTAATGATTCTGCCCCCCCCCCGTCCTCAAACGCAACAACCGTTGCGTTGCAGACGATGTCGGCGGTGCAGCAGGCCGGGCTGGTAGCGGACATCGAGATGCTCTCTGCGGCAATGGACGCGTGCTCCAAGGCCAGGGACACCGAGGGGGCGGTGCACTTCATGGACCAGGCCATTAGGCTCGGGCTCAAGCCGGACGACACCATGTTCCGCGAGGTGCGTGCGTGTGTGTGTCCGGCTACTATTCGTTTCCCCCAGAGATAGGAAGCTAGGAGCTTGCCAACCCTATTGCCCTGCGTCGAATCTGAATCTATGCGGTCGAAATCTCGGCCCGTGAACGCCCAAGGCACAAGATTAAGATTTGCCGAAACATCCCCGCAAGCTACAGCCTCATGTGGGCTGCGCTCCCTCTACCGCCGCGCTACGCCCTGATTTTTCCAACCAGGCCATCCTCGCCTATAGTCTTGCCGGAAAGTGGGTCGAAGCCCGCGATTTAGCCTTGCAGTGGCGGGGACAAGCGCCGTCACCTGCGTCATCATCAACACCAGGGGGCGATGGTGGTGGCGCCGTCAGTGTTGGTCTGGGTATCAGCCGCCCTCCTCCGCCGACGGTGTGCAACACGGCTATCCTCAAGGCCATGGGCAAAGCCGGCAAGGTGGATGAGGCGATCGCCTGGCTGGGGGACACCTACGACGCCGCCACCGCCACCGCCACCGCCGCCTCTGGGGCGGGTACAACCGAAGATGAACAGGGAAGCGTTCGCGGGTTTGTTTGTTTGGACCACTCGTCGTTCATGGCCGTGCTGTCGGCGTGCTCGAAGGCGGGGAGGTGGGGGTCGGCGCTGTCGGTGCTGCGGGAGATGGACCGCGCCGGGGTTACCCCGGAGACCGTCGCATTCAACACTGTTCTCGCGGGTACGTTGCTGCGAGCGAAGGGGAGAAGGCTGTGTGTATTTCTGTTTTTATGTCAGTAGCATCGACCGCGCTAGTTGGGTGGCCTATGAAAAGACTTCAGTCTCCGTACGGCTGAAAGCAGAAAATGTTTGTAAAGGTGATGATGAGGGACCCTCTGTGTCTGTGTGTATGTGTGTGTGAAAGTGTGCTGAGGCGGGGACGCGTGAGGCCAATGAATGGCTTGTCTGACGCCAAGGCCATGAGATTAGAACATGGCACTCGCCAAACGGTGGGCTTTCTCATCGCTCTATCTGCCTCTTGATCGAATGGTAGACGTTGGTGTGTTTTCTAGCTGGATGGAAGGCTGGGGCGGCGTGGCTCAGGGTGTACGCATGAAGGTTTTTCAAGCGGCGGCCGGGAAAGTTCCGGCAGAATCTTTGTGTTCGATCCAACGCTCAAGGGTCAATTGATGGCTCTTTCGGGTCTTGGACCCTAGGCCCGGTGTGTCCGAGTGCGTGCGTGATCCGGCAAAAGTTGCGCTTGCCGTACGTAGGCATGGCGTTTCAAGGCCGTGCCTGAGACGTCGGGGCCGGGGAGTGCTCTAGCGGAGGACGGGGAGCTCGTTCGAGGTGGTCATGGTTGTGACGTTGGTTGTGCGTGGGGTAGGGACGGCGGAGGGAGCAAGCAAAGAGTGCCCCCCTGCCTGGCCAATATCGCCACATGTGTAACACCAGTGTCTGACTGTCGCCACCATACCCACGCCCACCAACCCCAATCTCACCCCCGCTTTACCGTGGTGGAGATGAGTACGGAAGCCTACCACAACGAATATGGTCCAACCGCGACTTGATTCCCATCACTTGACGCTCCTGATCACGACTGCAAAAACCGTTTGCCAGCGTTCGAGCACCGCGCTCACTCTGGCGGTAGCAGCAGCGGTGGTGGCGCTGCCAAGAGAGAGGCGCCCCGCTGGCCCATGGCGCTGGAGCTCCTCGCCGACATGGAGAGACGCGGCGTGGAGCCGGACGTGGTGACGTACAACAGCTTGATCAACGTGTTGCGCTGGGGGGGGCAGCGGGACAGGGCGCTCGAGATCTTGGACGGCATGAACGCGAAGGGGGGAGCGGGGGGAGTGCGGCCCGACGTCATCACATACAACAGTGCGATCGCCGCGTGTGCCTCGGGGTATGGTGGGGGTGGTGTGTTGGGGGGAGTAGTTGGGCGTGGGCGTGTTGGGTCGCGATGACTGGCCGCGTACTGTGTTTGTTTGCACAGCGCGAGGAGAGTGCCATCCGGTGTTTGTTTGTATCCGAGTGAGCCTTGATCTTGTGTTGTCGGGTGCCGGTGTCGATTGTGCGGTTCGGTTGTTCAGTTATTCGGTCTCCAAGATAGAAGAGCACAAACGTTGTTCCCTCCCCGTAACTCCCAACGTCGACAAGCGTTTGTGAGTACGTGCGTCAAGTGTTCGTTCAGGGCGCGGGATGTATTGGCCGGTTGTGAAAGTCAACGCGGCCGCACAAACCGATTCTACTCCCCGTCTCACCGCTTTTTGTTTCCCTTCTACGTCTCTGGTGCCTTCATGCTCTGCTGCCTCAACTTCCGCAGCGGCGAGTCGAAGAAGGCGAGCCAGTTGATCGGCGAGATGCGCCGCAAGGGGCTCAAGCCCGACCGCTACAGCTACACCAGTGCCATACACGCCTGTTCAAAGGCCGGAAACCCCGAGGAGGCGCTGCGGCTGCTGAGGGCAATGGAGGCCAGCAATGTGGGTCATCCTCCGCGACACTGACAAGGGGGTTCCATAGGACTGCTACAGTTAACGCCCGCGATTAAGAAACAAAAAATTAATAAACGAAGGCTCATATTGCGTCCCCAAACCTGCAAAATAAATAATACCCAAAACAAAAACAAATAAATAGTCCCCAAACCCAATTATATATTATTCCCGCCCAACGCCCAGTGCTCAATCAATCCCCTCCCGCCCCCCGGCCGTTATATGTTGGGGATAAATAAGAAAAATCGACTGAGAACCACACCTCAGGCGTGGATCCTACACTAAACTCTACACAATGAAATACCTATGCTCGACGGTGGTGACGAAATAAGAAATTGAGCCTCGACCCCTAATTGACGTTTCTTAAACGCGGGCGCTGACTGTAGCGGTCGTAGAACCCATTCCCCCGTACACCCCTGGCCGCTTTATGGGCTGCTTGTTCAAGCCCAGCGGAAGCACAACCCCGTTCTCGTCCCTCGTTTTCGATGAACCAACCCTCGTGGGTCTTGCCATGCCCTGCTCCACGGAACGCGCTTGCGACGGCAGGTGGTTCCCGACGTGATCGCCATGACGGCGTGCATGGATGCCCTGGCGGCAGGCGGGAAGTGGTCGGAGGCGATCACGATTCTGGACGAGATGCGATCCAAGGGGGTGACTCCCAACGAGAGGACCTACAAGGTTTGGCTTTGCGCGTCCCCCCCCCCGCCCGGATATTGTCGTGTCAAGTGGTTTGTTGTGTACTTCCAACCGGCAGCTCGTTTTTTGTCTCTATTTTTGGTGACCTCCGGCGGGTTAGCTCAACGGCCCATCGTCGTTCCGCTCTGCACGCGGATAGCAGTTATTTTGTTCTACTTTGCTGACTCTGATGCGGTCGGTGTTGCTCACCCGACATGCTAGTGTATCGTAGTTGTGTCCTGACTATTTGTGGCCAGACTGTTGCGGCCAGACTGCTATTGTGACAAGACTGCTGCCCAAGGCGGGGACTTTCCCGTTTGCATGGGGCGAGCTTGCCCATATTCCTGCTGAGCCCGCGCGGCTGCTTTTCGCTCGCGCACGCCTGTGTTGCTCTTTCGTTGGTGGCCGCTCGTCTCTCAGGCGGCGATACAGGCATGCGGAAGGGGGGGGCAGTGGCAGCGCGCGCTGGAGCTCCTGTCTCGCCTCGAGAATCGGGCATCCGGGGCGACAGTCCAGGTGTGACGGCGAGGCTAGCTAGGGTCGATCTCGCAAATGCGCAGGGTCAACCAGTGCAGCATACAGTTCACGACTTGGGGCTCCGTCCCTAGGTCGGCGACTGCCTTAAAATAGAACACCCAATCGACGACTTGAACTCCATCCCTACGTAGGTCGGCGGCTGCCTACACATGCAGGGGTCCTCGCCAGGACACGTTGCACCGGGGTCGAGGTTTTTGTTCCTCCCGGTAGTGCTTACTCTCCTAGTGTGTTCTGGCCATTCTCTTGAACGTCCACCTTGAGCAGTTATGCACCTTGTGACGCTTCCCCCATCCTCAGGAGTACAATTGCGCCATGATGGCGTGTGTAACCGGGGGCGAGTCTGGGCGAGCGCTAGCCCTGTTGGAGCAGATGAAGGCCAACAAGGGCGGTGTAAACGCGGGGCCCGATATGGTAACCTACACAAGCGCCATCATGGCCTGCAGTTCAACCGGTGAGGGGCGACTGGCCATTCCCAGCCGGCGGCTATTCAGTAGGTGCTGTTTGTGAAGCGAAAGCGTTTGACCACGAGAGGGAGGTTTTCGTGCTCGAAGGCTGCGTTCACAAAAGGCTCATTAGTACTGTTCAATGTACGCGAGAGGCGGACGACACGTAGTTGTGACATCAGCGAGCGCAGTGACGGCCTTTGCCGGTCGTCGAATCAAGCCATTTGTTGCAGTTGTGGACGGCTTGTTATGTGTCTTGTTGGTTCCGTGGTGTCAAGCATGTGGTCGGTGATTTTCATCTTCCTTCCCGGAATTGGTTTGGGTAGTTTTCGTCCTGAGCGCGGGATCTCCCATGGCTTTGGCGTTGCAAAAAGGGGCCCTGTCACGGACTGTGATGCAGCATGCGACAGCGAGCGTGGTGGTAGTGTAGGGTGAACTGATGGTGGAGGGAGTTTCCAGGTGGTGGTGCTCTTGTTGCTCCATTTGCTGACTTCGTGTATGACAGTTTGGTTGCTTGATCTCGTTCATGATGTAACGGCGGTGTTGTTGTCAGCGTCATTAAATATCCTGACAATAGGCTGGTACTCCATGTGCGGGTCCGTACTCTCCCCCCCCCTCCCCCATCTTCCCTCAAGCAGGCAAGTGGGACAGAGCGCTGTCCTTGCTGGACGAAATGCGTGAAGCCGGGCCCCGCACTCAGCCGAACATCCGGAGCTACACTGCGGCCATCGCGGCGTGTGGACGGGCAAGGAAGTGGGAGGAGGCGGTGGCTCTGCACTCGAAGCTCTTGGAGGAGGGGATGTCGCCCGACCCTGCCAGCTTCAACGCCGTTATACGCGCTGCGAGGTGCGCGGCTTGCGTATCTTAGCTGGTCTTTTCTGGAAGATTTACCTATTATTACCTTTTGGTAGTCTACTATTCATCAGCGGACTCCTGGCTACAAGTTCAAGAATATTAGTGGACAAGATGTAAATTGATCTTGACGACGACTCGACCGCACGGGCGGATATCTCGCCGTATGCACGTTACCCCGAGACGGTGGTCCCGCGTCTAGAACTCAACTCCTGTTGCGGCTGCTTGCTTCCACCTCCTCAACCAGGCGCGGGGGGCAGCACAAGCTGTCGATGAAACTGCTGGCATCCATGGTCGAGGCCGGCCTCACGCCGGACGGGGTGACCGTCGGAGAGCTCATCTCTTCCCTCTCTGACCGAGGGAGGTGGGACGACGCCCAGCGCGTCGTGGAGATCGCGGAAAAGACGGGAGCCATCCCGGCGTCGTCTCTGGACAGCGACTTCGAGGTGGACGTGAGCCAGCTGCCACCTGCGATCGCCAAAGTCAAGGTGCGCGATCTCGGGGGTCCCGCAGGCTATTTTGGTGTGAGAAAACACGCGGTGCATGTGCACGAAGTTGGTTTGGGTGGCGAAAGCTCGTGGCTCGCGGGTCATTTATTTTTTCTGTTGGTGTTTTTGCTTTGTGAAAGTCACGGAAAACGAACATATATGGCCGACAACGAGAAGTGTAATACTTGACCAGCCACGATGCCCATCAGGAGGTACACCCCTCGGTTTAAGGCTATGGGAAAGATCGCCGCGTCAGTAAACCATGGGGCACAGCGGTGGAACGCAGGACGCTACGGCTTTTGAGCACAATGCAACGATTTACTCGTTAGCCCCCTGCCAAGATTGCAGGTTTACTTTTGGTTGATCGCATCTACCTTGGAACGGCGGCTAGCCTCGCAGACCCCAACTGTAAATTCCAAATTCCGCTGCCCCCCCCCTCCCCCCCCCCCCCCAAACACCACAGGCACGAGGCACCCTGCAAAGAATTCTCGACGTCTGGCGGGAAAGCAGCGGCAACGCCGAAGGCGGCGGAGCTACCTCCAGTCCTCTCGAGGACCTCGTTTTCGTAACTGGTACGGGGAGCGCCACGAAGCCCTCCCCCGCCCCCGACACCGCCGCTCCATGGGCTGGCGACGTCATCGACGACGATGGTAGCGCTGGCGACGGTAAAGATATCGTTATCGATGTTACCGTCTCCGACGACACGTCAACCACGAGCACCGAGAGCGCCAGGGCCGAACCGACAACGACAAGCTCTGCCTCCGTGGAGACCATGGGAACAGCGGCTTCAGGCGCCGCCGCGGGTCGAGGAGGGTGGCGAGTGGCCCGATTTTCGGACCGCAGTTTCGGTCTTGGGCGGGTGTTAGTTGAACACCTCAGGACGGCGTTTAATCCCCCGCTTAAGGCGCAACCGAGGGAGTTTGTGGCCGGGTGTCTCGTGGTGAAGGTGGAAGACCTGGAGACATGGGCAGCAGCGCAGGAGGGGGGGGGGTCATTGTAGCCGGGTGTGAGAGGAGAGAGGGTTAGAGGAGGTAGCGGGGCAGAGAAGGGGTGCGAGGTGGGAGGTTGTGTGTTGTGCGTTTTCTGAAGAAACAAAAAAAATGATGGAAGAGCTATTACGGATCCGCCTTGCCCAAGACTAAGCTTTGACAGCAGCCAGGCAATCGATCCCCGCAGGACGTTGGCGATCCACTCCGCCCTATCCAAACGGCTTTTGTTGTGCTCCCGTTGCGCCACAATAGAGGCCTTGCCCGCCGAAAAAGAACCGGCTGAAAGAAGAGACGAAGGGAATTTCGTTTGCCTCCGTGCTACCTATCGTACGCGTAGTCCACGCCGATGGCTGTGGCACATGTAGCAACATGGGGTTATATTTCTCTCACGGGGCAGAGCATCATGGTGGACTTATCTTGCCTTTGAGTCTTCCTGCAGCCGCGTGCGTTTTCGCCATCGATCCCCTTACGCGGCTGTCATCATCACGTAGACCCTGGTCAATTACCACCCGATCTCCTCTCCATGCCTGTAGAACCTCCCAGCCGGGATATCGTTGGCCGAACTAAGCGCGAGGTCCACCACCTCAACTGCCGCCTCTTCGGGGGAAACCGCGTCTCCTCTTGCCATCTCCTCCTTCGCTCAAATAAACAACAGACAGGGTGCGGTGGTGCATTTTGTACTTTGTGTTTCTGGCTTTGCTTGGCAAATAATCCTCTCAAACCACGACGTACCGAACATTCGGCAGTAGTTTGAGCACCGAAGGCTTGCTTTTCACCAACACCGTTAGGCGGGTTAATACCAAAGCCGAAACCTGGGAACAGGGTCATACGTGCTCCCCATAACAATCGGCTACCCAACGAGAAGTCTAGTTAGGTGAGCAATACGAAGAGCTGAACAAACCTATTCTTCACTCCACCTTTCGCTATGTAAGGCGGTGCTGGAAATACCTTTGAGGTCATGCGAGTAAGAACATCGCCGGGGCACACGGCCACGAGCCGCACCCCTCCACCCCGAACGCCAGTCCTGGACTTGGTGTTTTCGGGCGCTTCTGCTGGCACCGTCGGAGCTTGAATACACGGCGCCCACGTGCGGACGGCGGCGTTGACAGCAGCCTTAGAAAGGCTATAGGCCGGTGTGGGCCCAAACGCCATCTCTTCCACTTGCCCTTGTTCTCCCTCTTGTTGAGATCCTGCTGGGGCCGTGCTGTTCTGCTTCGAGGTGGTTGTGATGGTGTCGGTTGCGGTGGCCAACAGGTCCGACAAGGGCGACTTTACGTCCTGTTGTTTTCGGGAGAGCCATGGGGGAGGTTCGGGGTTAGTCGCTGAAACGTTGGAGCAAGACTACTCTGCACAGCGCATAGGAGATGCACGTTGGGTTGAACTGCACCCACACGGAAGGCGTACTTTCGATAGGACAGACGACTTCGTTTGCACCAATTTCTTACAACACTTCACGGATGCCTCGAAGCGAGTAGATTGCTTCGGCTCGCCATCGGAGCTAGACTTTCTGGCGGAATGTCTCGAACCACCCCGCCCGAACACTGCTGAATTTAAAGCTTCACACTGAACACCCGTCACCTCAAGACTCTGGGCTTCCGCGAGCAGCCCACGCCACTTGCTCCCGAGGAAACACAGTTCCCCATCCCCACTGGAAATCCAGACAACGGTCGGTGGCTTCAGCGACGTCATGGTCGATGTGGCTCCATTATCTTCCAGCATCAAGGCGGCCTTCTTCTTCTCTTTCCGCGCCACCATTGGTGCCGCCGCTTGTAGCGCCGGCACACAAGCTTCCACTACCTCGAGCGCGCCGAAAAAGTTGACCGCAAGGGTTTCCCGAAGAATGCCGGCGGCCGCCGCCCTGTTGTTTTGTGGCCCGTTCCCGTCCTGTTCCGGGAAGCACACCCCCGCGTTGTTGAACAGGATGTCAACCCTTCCACCAAGGTGCCCATTCACGCAGTCCTCCCGGAAGACCTCGACGCTTCTCGGGCAGGTGACGTCAAGAGGGAAGAAGGACGCCAAGAAATTCGTTGCGATCGTGCCGTATTGGCGCTGCCGGCGCTGTTGCTGTTTCCCCCGGAGTCGCTCCAACGCATCGCGGCCCTGCATGGCAGGAAAATGATCCAAGTTGCAAGAACGGATCTACCAAGGTGGCTTTTGGCAGTGTCAGGGTGAAACGTGCATCTCCGCTGTCTCGATCTTTGCGCATGAGGTCACGAAAGGCTGGTGTAAAATCGGTTACGGAGTACAGAACATTTATGCTATGTAGCAGAGGCAGTGGAGCAGCAGCAGCAGCAGTAGAGACAGCAGCCGCAGCAGCAGCAGCAGCATTCATCTGGCAGGAGCAGAGCCTACATGCGCACCTCTTGCTCGTTACGGCAAGCGAGAACGACACGGTAGCTGCCGAGCTTCAGCATGCGATCGGCGATAGCAAATCCGAGGCCTCGATTTGCTCCCGTCACGATCACGTTTCTCAAGATGCCGCCATCATCACCACCGCCCAGCATCGCAGGGACACCGCTGTCGTCTCGACTCTCCCACGGGCTCATGGTGGCCATTGCATCGTCTCTGTCCCGCCACTTGTTGCGGCTATTGAAGGTGGGTATAATCCCATAAGCGTGCGAGCCTTGCATACACCGAGGATGGCGGTGAAGCAAGCCTCTTCGCGCCCTTGACGCGTAGCACTGCTGTGGGTCCGATGACAACGGCACTGCTATGGGAGGTAGCAGGAAGCAATGCAACTGAGACCAGTGCGCCGGCATAACAAGCAAGCAGGAAGAGCAACGCATGACCCGGTGTACCACACGACGCTTGAACGAAAAGGCGCTATCGTCTCTGCCTTCCCTCCCTCCCTCCCTCTCCCCTCTCTGCTCCCATCGCCACATCGCATCGCCACATCGCCACTCTCCCGGATGCGGCGAAACAACCTCGGGACTGCTGTGCGGACAAAACGGTACCGGTTCGATCGACCGATGAAGGGGAATGAACCACGGCCCGGCGGCTCGGCGGCCCGGCGCAGAGCCGCCGGTGCTTTGATGCTGGACGACTTGATCGACCAGACAGGACACTCGAATGCTTTGCCGAGCCTTTCGCCTTTTGATTCTATAGCGAATTGATATGTTCCCAGGCCTGACGCAGTGTGCGGTACGTTCTCGATCAACCTGTCGAAGGTCCAATCAACACACGCCTGCCTTTAATACGTGAGGGATCTCACTCACTGGCGATCTGATGTCGGCTAGCGATGGGAACCTGATGGACGAAAAGAACGCGGCGCGTTCAGAGCTGCACAACCTCTTGGTCAAGAAACTCATCGCGAGATACGGGCACGAGTGAGCTGAGACTGGTGTCACAACTGTTTTAATGGCTAGTGTTTGGTGGGTGTTCGGTATCGATTGCTGTTCCAAGTACAGAATGACCTATCGACCGGAGGCTACATAAGACCATGCGTATTAGCTCTAGGGAAGTAATTTGCACCTATGTAGACCCCAAGACCGAGCAGATCGACTACCGTTGCAAACGCTTTAAGATATGCATGTGTACCGGCAGGGCACGGTGCTTTGACTTCGTATTATTTAGTTGAAGCCTGCAGGAACCACCATGTTGTCGTACGTACAACGTATATTGTCTTACAGACAGTAGTACATCATCATATGGTGTCGGACATCCTGAACATCTATCGGTATATATGAAGCATGGACGAAATCACTACGTGCGGGAAACGGTGTTGTTGGGAACGAATTGTCGCAAGAGAAAGACACATTGTACGGCAAGTATGGCCACGTCAATGAAGGTGACCGGCGAGATTTACAAGAGAAAGTGATTGGTGGCGACGTACTAGTAGGTTGAATTCCAAGCAAGCTCGGAGCAACGAACGATGGGGACTGCCGCGAGACCTAAATCGTTACGCAAATACAGGAAATACTGATAATAGCGCCCACACTGAAGAACTTCATGCTCACCTTTATCTCAAAACGTAAGAACTTTAGCGCCATTTGTGAGCGAGCCCGGTTAAGAACCTCAGCCTCGGCCAAAGCTAGAGCGGGCGCTATCCGTACACCAAAATAAACTGAGGCACGCGAGCGCAGCAAGCCTTTGTTTCCTGATCTCTTCAATGCACAATTGTCGTACAAGGGGTCGAAATTTTGGCTGTAAACGGTCTTTAAGGCACACTCGTCCACTTTTCTACCAAACGCGTCAAACAAGAAACACAAGTCAGGGAAACTAACGATGTGTTGTATCATGAACGCGACGAACAGAATCACCTCGTGTCTTGGTGTCTGGTGTACTGGTGTACTGTAGTTGGTACCGAGCTGCGTGTGGCCGGGAGATTTCGAAGCGCAACAAAAACAATTTCCAGAACATCCCCAGTGAAAATTGTGAACGAAACACCCACAATGCACAACCTACCTAACCATATACCCAGGTATTGCCGACGATGTAGAGCCTAAACAAGTATATTGTGGGCGTTCGAGAGCTAAGGCTGGACTATGCTGGTATGTTCATGCTTCTCAATGGCAACAACGCATCTCCCTCTGCACCGACGCACATGGTGCTTCATACCACTTGTTGCCGCACAGCGAGACCGGCGAAGGAACTCACTCGCATCCGGTCAACCATCTCATCCAAGCGGAGGTTGACCTCTTCATGCACAGTCACAAAATGGTGAAAGCCGGAGATTTGTCCCGGCTGGAGCGAGCGGTGAGGGCTGCCACGAAGGTCATAGGTGCGCGACGGCAGCTTCACCAACAAGCACACAATTCAAGAACGATGGCAACTCCTCGCTCAGCCACCTCTACACCGAGACGGGGATCAACCCGTCGGAGTACTGCATCATCGAGAGGGTCTCCGAGGGTGGCGACACCTGGAAGATTCCAAACGCCGCGCAGGAGCAAGAGCACGCCGCGCCCGAGCACTGCTGGTAGTGTGTCTTCGGGATCTCAGCAGCAGGGTTGGCGGAGAAAGGTTTTGTCATCGCGCGGTGGCGATAGTCGTGACTACGGCGTTGATAGTCATCGCGAGGAAATCATGAGCGTTCCAAGCAATATCAGGAACGAGTGGCTCATCTTGGAGACTTACCAACAAATACTGGCAGACGAAAAGCAGGCCGAGGAAGACCGGCGGGCGCAAACAGGTGCAATGCGTTAGCTATCAAGATTGCTGTTTAACCCTTTTGAGTCTTCAGGCGTTCTCACTGATCATTGATTGATCATTTGCAAATGCTGTGTGTAGTGGCAAGTCGTGGAGTTGCCGCCCTGCAGCCCTTCGCGCCGTGTATTGGCAAGTCCATAGGTAGGTGTGTCTAGATTATTATTAGCACCCGCGCTAACCGGCTGACCAATGAAGAGACTTCAGTGACAGCGGGTAATGTCAAGGTCTCGGGAATGGGAATGGGGCCAATCAATGCCAAATCATGAATCTCTCAACGTATGTATGCACATGTCAATGAACGCGTGTGTGCATACAGTACATACATACATACATATGTGTTCTTTCGCAGCACCACACATACACTCGCCCGAACGTAGGAAGCCACTGCTGCAAAGAGCAGAGGACAGCAAAAGGGAGGGGTATTGCAGTCCCTGCCGAAGCCCAGATATCGAGGATATCGTGGTTCCCAACAATTTGAAAATCGTTCCGAAGATCCAGCAGTCATTGTGTCAACAGCTACAACGAACGCTACAACAACACTACTACTGCTGTAGACGAGTAAAACATATCAGCAACACATCCACGCTCGTAGCGCCACACATACCACTCCTCGCCCGAACCTAGGAAACCACGAGGTACAGGTGTGTGCTGGTGGATGTGCTTGTTGTTTGAAAAACACAGGAGCTCTAGAGAGTTGGCAGGGCACATTTCGGGGGGGGACAGAGAACAGAGAAGTACAGAAGTACAAATACCAGCTATGGGTCTTCACTGATCATTTTGCCCTCTCTGGACTGATCATTTACAATATACCGAAAATAGACTAGTTGAGGCAGCTAGACGACTGATCATTTCAAAGGCTACACAGCTAACCTGCCCTACTGACCGCAGCGCGACCACCCACCAACCCTTCTACGACCCTGTCTGTGGCCACCACCCTGTCGCCGGCTTCTCTCATGGCCTACAGGGGGAGATAGTTGTTGCGTGTGCAGAAGTACACTGGTGTCTTTCTCTGCACTTCTCTCTCTCCCGCTCGCTCTCGCTCTCATTTTTTTTTTTGGCGCAAAAAAAAAAATCTGACAGTCCAGCCTAGACCCAAAGGGGTTAACTCGCAGTCTGAGGAGCGTAACCGCCCCTCCGGCGAGAGATCGTGCCCGCATGCAATACTACACCTTTGTTCACTCCTTCTCAACTCAGTGACATTCACATGTGGCCGCCTGTCTCGTTCTCCTGAAGCCCTCCAGCGCTGCAAGCAAGGCCTGGATGAGCAAATCCAGCAGAAGCTGGCCCGATCAGAAAAGGAAAGGCGCGAGGCCGACGCTCGAAGAGAGCAACAGCGAAGGGCACTCGTAGAGCACCAGGCCCTCCAGGAGGAGCTGAAGGAGTCTTCGAGGAGAAAGACACTGGTATGTCCTGATGTCGCCAAAACTAGACCGAATGATTGAACTAATAAAACAATCACTGATAAAACAATCAATTTCTGGCAAAACCCACGGCCAGTCCGATATGTTGGGTGTGACCAGCTCAACGACTTCGAGGTGAAGCGAGCATCGGGTGTATGTTTGACAGTGGGAATTACTTGTTTCCCAACCGTACGCAGCAGCACACGCGCATTAGCAATTTCCATTCGACGAAACAGTGGTGGAAACTCGGACCTCTTACGATTGGTCAAAACCTATCGTGTTGAGGTTATTGCGTCCATCCTCCGAAGCACACCACTTGACTTTGGCGCCTGATCCATCCGTTAGTCTCTGTGACCTATGTAGGGCCAACGCTGATTACGACCCCCAACCCGATCTCTACCCCTGAGTAGGAAGAGAAGTGCGTGCGGGCGACCCAGATCTTAGGGAACGAGAGGAGACGTGAGAGGGAGCGCCAGAACAGAAAAGTCGAAGAAGCGAGAATCCTCGAAGATTGCAAGAGAAAACTGGCTGAGGAAAAAGAACGGCAGGTAGGCATGTTGACTTTGTTGGATGTGAGGCACGTGCAGGACATAAAAAAGGCATCAGGCCGTGATACTGCGGTCGTTAATTCGGTTGGTGCAACGAAAAGAAGTTCTGAACCGATCTAGTGCTCACTCTCCAATCGTGTCTCCGTGGGCTCTGTAGGCCGCCAAGACCATAGGGCAAAGGGTTGCGTATCAAATTATCACCCGACGTTGTCGTGAACTGGAACCTCGAATAGTTCCTCTTTCCATTTCATTGTCGATGCTGACAGCTCCAGAAGCGGAAACAGATAGCCGAGTCGCTGAGAGAGATGAACCGCGAGAACGTCGCCAAGCTGGCCATGCGAGAGAAACAGAAAATTGCCGACGCTGAGGAGGACAAGCGTCTCATGAAGGAGTACCGGGAGAGACTCGACAGGTGTGTTGTGGCGAAAGGAGAGCTCCTGGATTGCTTGGCAGTGGGTGACCTCCATGGTTGCTTATGTGGCTTATCAATAAACTAAACCAGCTTCCCTTACGAGAATGGGCATGCAAAATCGAGGGAACAGAATGGTTCACAACCAAAACGGTCGGGATTGATCACTTGAGCCATTCGGCATGGAACTCCGTTTTCGACTTACCAGCCTTAGCCACTATCGTTGGTGATGACAACTGCCAGACGTCTAACACCCTGCGTTTCGAAAGTCTGCCGCGAAAGGCTATGGACATAAATAGTGTTCGTTCTGTTGTGTTTTCAACAAAATGGCATTATATTAGAGTTTCAGGGTCTCCCAGTCTTGATAGGTCACAGATGCCAAACCTCGCTTGATGTAAAGAGATGAACGATGTCTCTTCTCTACCTCTACCTCTCTCTTTCGTTTTTCTATCATCTCCTTCTCTCTCTTCCCGTGGGCATTTGTCTGTCCTTTCTACGCTCAAGGTAGCCCGAAATAACGGCAAAAAACTAGGGCAGAGATCTCTGGCATAACCTCCTCCACCAAGAACACGAAAAACAGTTGCATGATGACCACACCTTCGTGAGATACGCTCCACAATCGCCCCCCGACGTGTGCTTTTTGTTGTTGTGCCTTTTCTACCAGGGAGCAGGCCGAACGGACCGCGGCACACAATAAGCGGCTGCAGCGCTACGAGATGATCGGGAACCAGTGGGCGGAATCCGGCGCTGGCAAGAGGCAGCACGACAAAGACATTGCCGAGGAGAGGAGGATACTAGCCGAGGCCGCCATTAAAGAGAAGATCGACGAGGATAGAGAGATCGTGAGCATTGCGCGTCGTCGGTTTCAATACACCAACAGACGCTTTACCTCGTATCCACTTTTTGTTCTAACGCTGGTGTGGTAGGGGTGACACCTGTAGTGATGTTGTCGTCATCACGGAAACGGCAGGCGAGGGCCGAGACCCTCTGAGCGACGACGAAGAACGAGGGCACCGGATTGTGCCCGCATCCCAAAATTTGGCCAAATCCCTCCAGTTGGACTGCCTGTTTCGTGAATATATTTGTTTATTGCAAAGTGTCTTACCGAGCTACTGGTACAAACTTGTGTAAAGGCATCGGTTTGGATCTTTCCGGTCCGTTCCTGACGTGTGGCGATCTTTCTCGTGCCCACACACACCCCGTCGTGTCAGAGGGACAAGGAAGCGCTTCGGGTGGACCGCCTCCGATGCCTGGAGGACAATAAACGGCTTATGGGCGACAAAGCTGCACGAAAAAAGGTACGCCCGCCCAACACTCTTGCGCGCCGAGAAATGTTTTTCCTGTGCATACATGCTTACCCGGAATCAAGGGTGTTCTACTGTAGAATCACACAAAAAAAAAATCTAGATCACTCCAAATAATTCGCGAAGACATGTTTTCCACGGAGGGCCAAATCTAGGATAACAGCCAAGAACAGGGTACATACTGCATGAAGTTCGTAAACAGAGACTGGAACCTTTTCAATCAGACTCGAGGGCGAATCCGGAACAGGACGGGCACCGCCTGTTACCTTGTGCTCTATACAATCAACTACTGGCCTGTTCGAACAGATGCCAAGGGCGTCGGGGTGCAAGCGATGCCTACAGAGTTCCAATTCTTGCAAGGCAATCTTCAACGTTTGCGGTACTGAGGCCATCCAAGAGTACAGCAGTGCTAGAAAAACGCCCGCTTGCCGGTCAACCGGAGTCATCAATATCGAAACCGGATACCCCGCAAGCTTGAAGCAACTTTAGTTCCACCATGGCACGATGAGTACCGCTCCCCAATCCCCTGTAGCCCACTCCTACCCTCCGTTATGGATTGTTTGGAACACCCGCACGTGCGCTTCGCTCGTGTTTTGCAGTGACTCGATTAGTGGCCCTCTTGACAACAAGGCTGAAGAGACGAACACCCATGGTAGATTGGAAAAATGCTCTCAACAGCTGCGTGAGTGCCGGGTCCTCCGCTCGCAGATTTTCCCAACGCAGGTGCACTGGTTCGCACCTTCGGTGCGTTTTCTAGGACACAAACTTCCTCGGAAAAGAAAAATCGATTGGGCCTACGTACCAGATCGCCTCCCGACTAAACCTTTCAGCTCGCTCGTTATCGTCGTTGCCGCCGGCTGAAACGCAACACGGAACCTCGCACGAAAGGCGGACGAGAAGCTGGAGGCCGAGTACGCCCAGCAGTTCCGCGTTCAGGGGGAGATGCACGTGGCCAAAGGATTGGAAAGGAAGAGGGAGATGGTGCGCGAGAAAAAAGCGTACGCCCGAATGCTTGAAGACCAGGTGCGTTTTGACCCGTCGTGTTCTCCCTCGTATCCGTTATCACGTTCGAAAAGATTATTGACGGAAGAACTCCTATTGAGACTGAGAGCATCCGTGATACAAGGCCTCTGCCATAGCCTAGTCACCACCAGAGTTAATGTTTGGGAAACAACGACGTCGTAATTCTCGGTAGGGTTTCAAATCTCTTGGAATGCAACTCCTCAATACCACTCCTTTGAAATTATGGGTTTTGTGTAGATGGAACACATCTCCTGAAAGTTTGGGTTCTGTTCTTCAGCGGGGTCAACAGTGGGCGGTGGATTCCTTTCGCCTTGCAATCTTAGATAAGGGAGACCAGGGCCGCTCTTCGGACTGTTCAGATGACGGACACGGAGCGCAAGATGAACGGAGAGCTACTGCGGAAGCTGCAAGGCGACAGAGACCTGCAGGAAAGAATAAGGTAACCTTCGCTGCACAAATAGTATTTGAATGTCTTCACTTTTGGCGCCGGAAGCTCCAGTTTCACCGGCGGCTCAAGAACACCGTGTGGTTCAGGGTATTCCTCGTCGCGCATGCGCACTTACGGGTGATCTTGCAGAATGGAACCAGGTCTACTTGCTTTCTGTTGCTCGTCCAGGCAACACCGTTGCCGAGGCACTTTGTCGGAAGGTGCGATCCTAACCCTGGCCCATAAAATGCTTGTGCTTATTACGAATCGAACCGCGGATTTGGAAAAATTACGTCGTTCTATGCACGGCGGAACTTCGCGCACATACCCGCGAAGGGTGTAGAAGAAGTACTATCTGTAGGCACACATTTCAGGGTGCGGATGCACATTTGTCTGATGGTGGAAACTCAACCTCAATTACTTGAAAGTGTTCAAGTTCTAGTTGAAGCCGGCGTTGAGGCCCACCACTTGTTGTTTAGCTCCTTGCCGAATCGCGGTCTACCAGCACAACTCTGTCGAACCGGCTACGTTCGGTTTTGGTCTGTACGACTGCATTGGGAGGGTCGGGGACACTGCTCACGGTTGGCTGGCGAGTGCCCTGCCACTAAAATTAGACGTGCCGGTGACTGTTTCTGGTTGCCAAGGTGCCGTGTGCTTTGAACAGCCCGATGGAATACCCTCTCGATAATGGCGGTTGTTGAGCTGCGGATGCGTGTGTCAAACTACAATGTATTATTCCATCTTTACCCCATCTTAAAACTATTCCGCCCCATGCACGTCAACCCCCCCCCCCCCCCCCGCCCCGTCCATCTTTTCTAAGCCGGCGACTTCTTCAGAAGTGATCAACGCAAATGAAGAGTCGGCGTCTTCTGCCACGTCTTGTCGGCGGAAAGAAAAGTGCTACAAGTGGTACATCTACTTCGACTAAGTATGTAGTAGAAAATAGCGACTCAACGCTCGCTCTCACGAAGGGGTCGCTTGATAGAGGTAGAATCTCAAGACATCATAAGAACTGTTTTTTGGACACTAGGTAGGTTGATAGAAAAGGATCGAGAAGATGGGTGAATGTGTACACGCCGTCGTGATACTGGTTCTATGGCGAAGGTTGGGACTGGCTTTGGCAATTTTGGGAGCGCCTACGTTCGTATCTTGGGCGACAGCGATGACGAATTCGAAGCGCTTGGCCCCCCTTACTGGGTGCCGCTATACTGCACTCTACTACATACAGTATTCGAACCCGTAGGGTAGTGGTAGTAGTGCTGATGCTGGTGGATTCGGGGAAAAGGCGCCACCTTTGTCGTACAAAGTACCAAATCAAAACTCAAAGCTGACATGAATGGTCTATGCATTGATCTACATAGTGTAAGAGAGAATCGGCCTCGACCGATGTTCTACAGAGGGAGATTTTAACCTTTGTTGTGTGCTTTCAGCTGTTTTTCTGTCCCCGGTATGGTTCTGTTTTCGCCCTTTGTGTCGGGTGAAGGGCACCATGATGCCTTAACTTCCCGACGACAAAGCCTGCCAACCCCACGTAGAGCCTAGGAAGAATATCGTACAACGTGATGCGATGCGACGGGCTAGATGCGGTTGTGCATGCATGAATGCGATGCGGTTGCATGCGAAAATTCGGGACAAAGAACAGTGTGAATGCATGCGATGCGACAAGGCGGGTTTGCAAGCGAGTACAGATTGGGGACAAACACAACGTGCCACCACACGCCATCTATTGCAATCATTTTGACTACATACGGGCGCCGTTCATATATTTACATTGATCTGTGGGGATCCCTTTCATAGAGGGCAAACTCTCCTCAACGTCTGTCGAGGACGATTGATTCCCTCTTTTCACATTGATTATTGGCGTCGCACAGAAAACTGCAATTAGTCAAAGCGAATCGACTCCTCGCCGGCCGGTCGGGTTCTGGTTACCCCTAGAGGCCTTGTTGCCTTCATGTACCAATCAAGGAGGCTACAAGGGGGGGGGGGATGTGGAGAGATCCCTTTATTCATGCTAAAGAAAGGTTACACAATCTACCGTCTACGGTAGAACGTCGGTCGAGGGCGTAGATCAATGCAAGACCATCTCAGCTTTGAGGTTTGATTTGATACTTGAACAGCAAAACACTGCGCTTTTTCGCCGAATCCACCAGGATCAGCACTATCATTACTACCCTGCGGGTTCGAAACTTCTGTTGTACATGTGCACACAGTACTGTACATTACTGTAGTACAGCATATGGATCTCGACGCCAGCCGGTGTAGGAATACTAAGAATCGACTATTTCTGTGAACGCAGATACGTGCAAGAGTCCATCCGATCTCTACATTCGAGGAAACCATCGAACGGGTGCCATCGATAGCACTGCCAATGGGTCTTGTGCGCAGCTGCTTCTGCCGCTGATGTTCACGAAGAGTTGAGTATCCGGTATCCATGAGCCAAGCTAGCGCGCTGGCTCTTTCGGTTCAACACATCGAAATCAAGCGTACTCTGTGCTGCTGTACGCAGTAGTAGAAGTTCTTGTTCTGTTCGTCGGGGCGAACATCTGACCTTGGAGGAGCCTCAGCGACGTTCGCCGCTCGACATGCAGGTATGTATGTATATGAACTGCCAACGAACCAGCAACGGGCATGGGTTTCCACGCTCCCTGTTGCATGTATGTACCTATGTACGGGTATACTAATGCCTGTGATTATCACAAGCCGTTCAGTGGACAGTCAGAAAACCGGGACGCTTCGTTGTGGTACTGCAGCGACCGAGCCAGAATATCATGGTACGCAAGCTCGCGACCTTCGCCATATTCCTAGCATCTAGGTCGCACCACCGTGCCCGTGCTTTGTTCGTACGTGAAACTGCATTCCTCTCGGTCCTGGGTTGCATGGTTGGGTTCTCCGGTGTGATTTGCATGTATGCGTTCTCACGGCACCGAGCGCACAGCAGCGTAATTCCAAGCGCAGGGAACGTTCGTGCTTCCTCTCCAAGCGGGAACGTTCTCAGAACATTCTTCACCATTCTCAGCAAGGTGCGGATCGTGGCTCCTCGCTTCACATAGGGTGTGCCAGAGTGCACTTCATCTGGGCTGGAGAGATCAGTGCGGCAGCTGGAAAGGCGCATGGTGGTGCCGCATGCCGCTGCGATGCATGGGAGGAGGGGGAAGAGGAGGGGGAGGAGGAGGAGTGGCTTTCGGCCAGCGGTGCTGGCGACCTTGGTCTGCCTGCTGATCGCTGGTAGTTTCACGGCGGTGTCAACAGCGGCTTCCACACCAACACAACAAGAACGCGATGGAACTTCGCCGGGAGCTCTTGCTCTCCACAACGAGCGATTCATAAAAGGTGAGGAGGGCGGTTGGTGCCCGGTTGCCCTTTGTTCAGGGGGGGGGTTCAGAACGAGAGAAAGGGAATGTATTAGAGAGAGCGCGGGCGGGGAGCGAGCTGGAGAGAGCGAGCTGGAGAGAGGCAAAGATGGGAGCCACCGCACTCTCTCTGCTGCTGCTACTGCGCGTCGATCATCACCTCATCAGCGTTGACAGACTTCGGGACCTATGGTTTGCCCACCTGCCGGTCCCGGGTCTCCTAGGCACCTATGCATAGTCTCGTGGTTCCCGTGCATAGGTACTTGTGTGCATAGCTGCTTGTGCGCTCGAGCGAGCACGCGCCGTGTCTTTGTTCGGTGTTTCATGTGGGCAACAGCACCAAATTTCAAAGTTACCCGCCAGCCGCCAATAACTCGCAACTGCTGCGGTGTCCCTTGCACACATATGTTGTGCACCATTTCAAACCGGCGTCTACGGCAAGTAGGCTAGCCCTTCAGGCAATGCATACCGTTTGCACGTGTCCCCAAATCTTGCCTTCGTCCCTGGTTCCCAACAATATGCAGCAGCAGGTACCGTTCTCGTGGTCTCCACTCAACCCAACCCATGGGTCTGTTGCCCCCCTCCACAGCAGGTGTCTTGTTTTTTGGGAGCGGGGGATACATTCAGAATGAGACGGACACCCTCGCCCCCCTTTGGAACACACAGAGATGAACTCCTACTCCCCTACTCCACCTTACGTTTCGTGCCACGAGTTGTTTGTCCCTCTAGATTGGGGCGCCAAAACCTTGCCGGCAGTGATCGCTACATCCCGACGGCAACGTTGTTCACGCGTGTAACGGACGAGAGTTCACCGCCGGCGTGCGTGCGTGGTGTCTTTATCCCAGAGCTGTACTCTGGCGACAGGCAGCAGTGTACACCTTTCGCAATATGTTTGACGTGTGGATATATGGATATGCCAGCCGGTGTCCCACCTCTCTCTTGTGGCGCTTGCCTTCGACCTGCGAGACCTGCGAGAAGGGCTCAGCAGTTGAGTCCTTTTCGTTTCTACATACAAAAACTCGGGAATTTTTTAAAAGCGTACCAAGAGTAAAGTTTAAATCCACGTTCGGCTAAATGTCGGCGCCTGGTAGGTAGGTTTACGAGGTTACCTGCTAGACCTGGCAAAGCAGTTGTACAATCTCGTGCCGGCACAAGCTGGTCTCTAAGCTTGATTCGGGGAAGAACGGAATCAATATGGTTCCGTTTTTGAAGAAACAAGTCCAACTCGTATAAATCATCAGTGTATAGACTTACAAAGACTCGAAATAAGTCCAGTACCCAGCCGGTTTCCCTCCACTCACTGAAAAGACTCCACCACATCCCGTTCGACTGTGGGTATATCTCGAATGGGTAGTCTTTCTGTGTGTGTTTTTATTATTCCTTAACTCGAGAAACGGAACACCAACCACTTGCTCGTTCATCCTCAGCACCAACCACTACGGCAAAGGAGCGGCTACTCGTACCTCCTGATGTGTTCAGTGGAACCGGTGACGAATGGGTGTCCGTGAGTATGCATAGAGCACGTGATAAAATGATTTCTTGATAATATCAGTACACCAGAGTAAGGAGAGACTATTATACCTGTTGTTTCAAGCACGCGAAACAGGGGACGAGACTCAAGCACGGTACACCCGAATGCGTCCAACTCGGTTCGACCCACTTAGCAGTCCCAGCAAAATAGTCCTGTTCTTTCAAGCAAAACATATTCCCCCAAAGCGTGATGGGTGCAGTGTCCCTCTTGCCACCCGTCCCCTTCAACCTAAACCAAACTAGAATTGGGATAGAAGAAGCACAGCAGTGATCCACTCTTTACATTTTCCCCCTTTGCCCTGCCCCCCCCCCCCCCCCCCCCCCCCCCCATTTGGGGGGGGGACCCCGGGTTTAAAGGAAAAATAACGGGGCCCCCCTTTTTGGGGGGGGGGAGAGCCAACCGCTTTCCGCGAAAGTTTTTAAAAAGCCGGGGGGGGGGCACCCCCAAAAGGGGGGGGGGGCGCCTTTTCTCCGGGCGGGAAAAAAAAGGAAAAAAAAAAAAATTTTTAGAAAATGGGGGGGGGAAAAAAAACCCCCCCGGGAAAATTTTTTTCCTTAAAAAAAAAAGGGGGCCACAAGAAATGAAAAAAAAAAAAGGGGGGGTCCCCCG